ACCCAGGTGCAGGACCTTGCACTTGGCCTTGTTGAACCTCATGAGGTTCACACAGGCCCACCTCTCCAGCTTGTCCAGGACTCTCTGGATGACATCCCATCCTTCTGGTGTGTCAAACGCACCACTCAGCTTGGTGTCATCTGCAAACTTGCTGAGGGTGCACTCGATCTCGCTGTCCAAGTCATTGGTGAAAACATTAAACAGCACCGGTCCCAGTACGGACCCCTGAGGGACACCACTCGTCACCGGTCTCCATCCGGACATCGAGCCATTGACCACTACCCTCTGGATGCGACCATCCAGAGCATTCATGCTCTTCACTTTGCATGGGCTCTTCTTTGGAGTTGAAAGACCCAGAGACAAGTCACCTACTTTAGGGGCTGGAAAGCAAAGAGGAGCTCTTCTTTCAGCCTAAAAAGATTCAGCTCAGGAGCCTGCTGTCCAAAACACAGACAATGCTGCAATGCTTTTTGGCAACCCCTCTCTCAGTGATATCACTCCTTGTGTTTCATCATCTTCCACCTGCATGAAATACTGAAGATATTAAGGCTCGCAGCAAGCAGTTGCATCAGCATTTCAAATCAACTTTTCCTTCATCAAGGTTATAACAGTCACTTTGGGATGAAAATAAAGCTCCTTTCTTCAGGCTCACAAAGCCTATCTTCCTGTACATTGCATCCTTGTAACACCAGGCTCATCTTATTTCAAAGCACTTGATGGATCATCATATGGCCACCACTGAAAGGGGCCAACCAATTCTTTTTTTTTCTTTTTTGATATAAAGACCTTTGAATAGAATCAAGATCTGATTTGCTCCACAGTGTTGGCTTGGGTTTAGCGTTCAATGAAGATAAAAATGCATGAGGGTAGGAGAAAGCAGTGTTTGTGGACACAGGGCTGGATCTACCTGCAGCCACCATGAGTGGTAGCTTCAGCAGCACAGGCCTGTTCCCCTTTTCCTGCCCACATCACTTTGTCAACACCAAACATGCCCGGTTTGAGGAAGGGACTATTGGTTTTTGCTTGGAAAACGCTCGGCACAGCATAAGCTGTGCAACAGGCATCACTGTTGTACAAAAAGAAGGGTGAATGCCTGGCCAGCCTCTCTGGCATTCACTTAATTCCTGAGATACAACCCACAGGCCAAACCTCTTTAGGAGACTCCAAGCTCCTAGGAAGCAGTGGCTGCACATCACTGCCCCACGCCAGTCAGCTGGAAGCTGAATTCCCCAAGAAAGGAGCGTTTTCCCATGGGTTAGTTCATCCGTGTGACATTGCCAAAGCCACAGGGCGAAGGGAAGCTTCAGTGCTGACATTGCGGGCGACAAACCACAAGCCTCTGGACCGTGAGTTTCTACCAAGGGCCAGAAGAACAGTATGTGGTAATGAGAAACCAGGGGCAGAGGAGTCTGTGAGCCACCAGGCAACAAGAACACCTATCAAATACAGTAATACTTGTGATTTCTGCCACCAGCTCCCAAGTTTTCCCTTAGTAAAAGCTAACTAGTTAAAACACATTCTTGAATTACAACTGTGGTTTCCTCCCCCTAGCAAAATTGCAAGCAAGGAGACCATTTAGTCACACAAGATCGTTTGTCAGTAAAGAAAATACAAATTTACCTTTATTATAACCATAAAGAGGCATTACTTTAACAATTAGCTGTACAGTCAGCACTCGGGTATACACCTGTGCCAAGTAAAGTCAATTCTCTTACTGCTAAAAAAGCACACTCCTTCTCAGCGGTGCACTGCCTGTGCTTACAGGGTGGTTATTGTCTCTGTATTACAGTTATATCTTGATGGACAAGCCTCAGATTACAGAATAAAGCTTTACTCTTGGACCAAAATAGGAGGCAACATTTTTATTTAAAAAAATTAAAAACAGCAAGTTTCTAGTCAGATAATATAAAGCATCTTAAATTAATCTTTTGAAAGTATTTACACTATTTGTAAACGTAAATATCTGAAACTGTACATGTTTAAACAAATGTTCATTTAGCAAACAGGCTGTATAAACTGGTTGCTCTTCTAATCTTTTCAACCAGGTGTCCTAGAGCTGTCTGGGTACTCTGAGGGAGAGAAGATCCCAAGCACAAGAGCGACTACTGCGATGGTTTACCCTTCACATCTTTTTCTGTACAACGTCTGTATTAAGTCAGCCATAACTCTGTACAGCAACCACGCCGTCCTTCTGTAAAACTTTATAAAAAACCTGAATATACATATATTACAATGCACTGGGCATTATTTTACAGCCTGTATGTCTACATAAGTAAAAAGAAAGGGCAAGTTTTCTTCTCTGTTAGCTCCTCTAGTTAGTTTTTAAGGAGTCGTGTTAAGGTCCTACGAGTACCGTTTATGTACCTCAGCACCACTGCTGCAACACTTCTCATGGTAGCTTTAAATCCTCCCATCTTAGTCTCCAGCCAGGTGATTTATAACAGGAAAAATATTAACCAAAACACCACCAATGTGCATGGAAATTTCTACATATTTAAAACTACACAACAGGTTTTATAAATAAGTTAAAAATCTGCCATGTAAGTCACCACATTTTTCTTTTGTAGTGCTGCACAATAAAGACTTACTCACCGAGACACCCTGAAGCTGCTTGTAGCGTTTCATTGAGTAATGGCCAAGTGTTTAGCATTCAGGTTTCCAAAATAACGACCATTAAACGCACACTGAACACCATGCATTGCTTACCAATTACCGAGTACTTATCCCCTGTTTACCATGCCAATTTGACAGGTTTGCACATTAAATTTCTGGCATCCCCACACACCCTGATTAGCACTTACTCCAGCACACAAAGGCTGCAAAAGTTCCAGTCCCATTTGGTCTTGGGTAAGGCAAAAAACCGACTCTAACCTAAAACTAAGAACCTGAGAATCTCAGTGCTAAGCTTTGCTGTAAAGCTCCCTCAGAAACAAGAGAAATGATATTGCAAATCCCAAGGAAGTGAGATTCTTTACAGGGAGGAAGGTTAGAGCATGAAACTTCAGGTCAGACCTCACAGCTCCCGATCACAACAGCATCCAGTGTTTCAAGAAAAGCTTCACATGTGGGAAGCAAAAGTTTTCCCAACTAAGAACCTCTGAATTATGTTCAAGCACGTGGTGGATTACCAGGATTTTTGGGGGGTTAAGGAAAAACTGGAGCAACCCTGCTTAAGTCAAATTGTCATACCAACGTGCTTATCTCCAAGCCTTGCAAATACCTATTACTGCTCCCATTTGATTCCCTGCGCTTTATTTCCAACGTGTCTTTGAAAGTGCGGCTTTTCACTGCATACAACGGCTTATTAAAGGAAAGCAAGAAAGGTTTTTACAGAAAAAACCCAACAGGATTTCAATTTTGAAAACATCTGGATAAGGTGGTAAGTGAGCTACCGTAAGAGTGATCCGCAAAGAGTTGTTTTGTTTTCTTCTGCCTCACTTCTCAAGCCAACGAACAGGAAGACCTTTAACAAATCAATAGAACTGGTTTTCTTTTTTTTTTTTTTTTTCTCCTAAAACAGGGGTAAGCAGCCTGGATAGTTTTGATGCAGACTGGACTGCACAGTGGGATCCTTTGTTCACTTCAAGCAAACGTCTTCGCATTCCCTTCACTGCCTGGCATTCAGCTGAAGCTTATTTCAAGCAGCCTCACTGTTGGGCTACTTGGACATCGATAAAAGTAAGTTCACCTGAAAGATGAAAGGAAAGCAAGCATTAGACAGAGCAGCCAAGTTTCAGAACTGACGTCTTATATTTTAACCTTTAAGCAGGATTCCTAGGAAGCACGGAGAGTCTTAGACAAATCAGAAGACAGCTAAGAAAACAACTGGCCAAAATTTACCGTCAAATGCCTACTCACAGGCTTTTTAAAATGCGATTGTTGACCATGTTGACCAATCATTCCGGCAGTCAAAAGCTACCGTGACAAAGTTTCTAAGATGACTCCATGCATTGTCAAGGAATTCCAAAAAATACACACACGGGCAAAAAATATTTAACATTAATCTGAGATATCTGAAACACATTTGGGATCCTTCGCAACACTTGTTCCTCACAGGCTGCAATATGGTTTCCCAGGTGCAGTTTTCCAGGTTAGTTATCACACATCCCTGTGGCCACATTCACTGCAGGCATTGTCCTCCAATCCATAAACTAGTTTATCTGTTTGAATATTGCCATCCTGGGATAATCACAGTTCTATCCACATTCCCTGGACCACTATGGTCAAAGCGACATTTTTTAAAACCTACTTGGTTTGTCAGAGCATCCCAATACAGAGAATTCTTAACCCGAATCATCTCCGAGACTGAAGACCTTATCATGTAGGGTTACATTTCCATAATCATCTGCACATTTCCCAATGTAACTGACTTCAAATGAACCCTTATAATTCTTTCTCATGCTTCCCAAATGTAAAAGTTGCTGATTCTTGTATTTGTCAAAAGCAAGACAGAGGCTTTTTTAAAGCTTATTCACTAGCTTTGATATCTCCCCAAAACCACAATGCCCAGAAATGGCAAAACTCCACCATAACGTTGTACAACTCAATCCCCAGCAACGTCAGTCACCACCTTCAGTTTAACAACTCTACTGGATATTCATAAAAAATAAAAACCAAACAAAACCCCCTTTTAGCTGAGAGCCAAAAGTTCAGACAAAGCCCTGAGTTTAACCATCCCTGACTAAGAGGCATAATAAATAAATAAATAATGATCCTGAACACTGAAAATACCAAAAAAGAAAAATTAATGTTTAAAAAAAGCCAGTCACATAATAGATCAACTGATAAAACAGGGATCTTCAATATATACCTGTTCCATTGAAGGACAAGCTATGATCTGGAGATCTTCATTACTAAATTCTTCCTTTAACAAAGCATGGAGTTTCTGGAACATCTGCTGAATGTTATTCTTTTAAAGGAAAGAAAAAAACACTCAATATTAAAAAACACAACACCCACCTCAAACATGAACCAGAATAAGCACAATGTACATGGAATAGCTACTGAAGTGACCACCTAGGGAGAAGCAGTTGAGCTTTAAAAGCTCTTCTTTTAAAACAAGCCCCAAAACAGCCACAAGGAACCTGTGTTGGCTGTGAGAGAAAAACTTCAGCTAAGATGTGCTAAGCTGAAATACCGAGTCCTGCGGACTTAACCTGGAAGCTTAAAACTCAAGCTTGGTTCTTTCTGTTGGGTTTACAGTGGGTCTCCCAGTGCATCTCTATCTTCCTCTCTGCCTCCAGTGTTTCTGTCCATGCATAACTGACCAAGTTTTACTGGTTTTTGCTGGGACAGAGTTAATTTTCTTTATACCAGCTTGTATGGTGCCAACTGGAAGATGCACAAAAAGAACTGAACCAGTTGCTTCCTTTTAGTGTGTGCATGTTACACAGGTTGAGTACAATGGAGAGCAAGACAGCTTGGGGTTTTTTTTTAAGCTTAAACATATCATTATACAACATATTATTAGACTCCACACACACACACACAGAGTGTGTTTTTTTAACAAGCTTCTCAGATCAGGGACACCACATCGAATGTAACAGTCTGTGCACTATTACATGTGCATGGTATTTGTCACAGATTTACTGGCCACACTGGTAGCCTAGAATAACTCTACTCACAAACAGGTATGCGTATGTATGTGTGTCTGTATATATACACTTACAAATATATGCATACATATAGACATATACATATAACCATACACACAGATGTGTGAATGATCCCACAAAATGTGTTTAACATCTTTAACTAAATGCGGGCCCAACACCTGTAGGAAAACATGCTGAAGTACACCTGGCAATACTCACCCTAACTGGCTTAAACAAAATTAACTCTGTATCTTTATTGGACAAATATAACGACATGCTTCGTAACGTTGATGGCAGCTTCGTTTTTATTGTCTTATACGTGGAAGAGACCAGATCGTTGATCTTTGCTGAAAGTAAAAGAAAACATGCTTAATGGGCTAAAATGGCATTCTGCCAGTTGAAATCTACACTCCAGAATATCACCTCCACTTTACCGGGGCTGATCATAACCACAGGGTTGAGTGAAAGGGAAA